GGACATCAACAAGATTATAGGTCTAAATAACGAGGGGGAAATGGGAGTGGCCATTAAGAGGAACTGGCTAGAGAAAAACAAGAAAAATAAAAAAGTAGAATCTTACATTAAGGAAATATCAGCAGATAGTTGATTTTTTAAAGCATGATCACAAAGAAACATGTATTACAAACAAGTGAAGAGGCTCACCTTTAGGGACTGAGGAGGTGATAAAGAACAAGGAAAAAAAGACACCGAATGAATACAAATTAGAAAAACCAACCAAGCATGGTGTACCATAAACCAGATGGAAAATATTAATAAGTATGCCCAAGAGAACAGGATTATTTGACACACACGATGGGTCAAATGAACCAGACCGGAGGGATCACCACCAGTGTTCATTTAGATGTTACCTGTGGTGTCGTGAAGAGAAGTCATTGCAGAATGGTGGGAGTGAAAGCAAAGTGCATTTAAGAGACAAGGAAGAAGATAAATCAAAGACTGTCCATACAATTAGTTGCTTCCAAAGAGTTTACTGGAAAACATATACATAAAAGATCATGCTTTCTCTGTTACTTATCTAAACAATACATATTTTTTTTCACAACCTACTTTGCCTTACTTTTCCCTTGAAGATTTTCTAGACCATTCTAGTCTATTCTGAAGCCCTACCATTATTTACATATTGCCATACAACTTAACACTTTAAGACCGTTTTCTAAGGGTCGCATGTAAGTCTGTTGTCCCTGCAAGGCTTTAATACTCCTGACACTTCCCCCATGTGCACCAACTTACCCTGGAATATAACAGTGAACTCACTGGCACACTGTAGGATATTTTACATATTCTTGTGGGTATAAAATATATGCAAAATTTACCATTGAAGCTATTTTAAAATTTACCATTCAGTGGCCTTAAGAATACCCAGGATGTGGCACACCCTGAGCACGATTTAGGTCCAGAGCATTTTATCATCCCAAATGGAAACCCCATATCCATTTAGCATTCACTCGCCAGTCTGCTTTCTTCCCAGCCCCTGAAAGCCACAAATCTGTGCTCTCTCTTTATAGATGAGCCTTGTCTAAATATTTAATATAAATGGATTCAAACAATAAGTGGCATTTGTGTCTGGTGTCTTTCACTTAGTATGATACTTTCAAGGTTCATTCATATTGCAGTATGTATTAATACTTCATTCTTACTGTGGTTGAAATTATTCCATTTTATGGACATATCAAATAGTGCTTATCCATTTATCCACTGATGGGAATTTAGGATGTTCCCATCCCACCATTTGGCTATTTTGAATATTGCTGCAATGAGCATTCATGTACAAGTTTTGCTTGAACATCTCTTTCCAATTCTATGGGATATATTCCTAGGAGCAGACTCACTATGACGTACCATCAAACTGTTCTGCACGGCAATTGCACCATTTCCAATCCTCACTAACAATGTATGCATATTTCTACTTCTCCACATCCTCATCAGTGCTTGTTAGTATCCTTTATTATTGTTGTCTTTTCTTTGACCACCATCCCTGCTTGTTAGGACTCCGTGTCTGTCTCCAGGGGAAGCTCCATGTGGGCCGCTGACCCTGGGAGCTCTGTTCCCACCAACCCTGGATCCACATGACTCTGCCCCCACCAGTCTGGGGTCTCCCTACTTACACGTCACCTTTATGTGTCCCCTGCCTGGAGTCTACGGAAAACATCAGGCCCACGGGCTTGAGTTGAACTGGGCTGGGAGGCTTTCTTGCTGTAAAGTCATTTTCATACATAGCTGAGTATCACGGTTTGGTTTCTCTAGACAACCCCATCTAAAACGGTCTTCTAATCCATGATCACAGTCCGTCTTTCCTTTTTCCCTTAGGCTTTCTTTTGTTTCTTTCCATAAAGTTTGCGGTTTGCAGTGTGTAGGTCTTGCACCTCTCTAGTGATATTTTTCATGTGATGAAAATACAGCGATGCTTGACATATTTCTGAGACCACGAAATCTACTGATCAAAAGAATCTATATAGAGATAACATGCCAGACTCCTTTGGTGATGCTATCTATTTGCCAACTGGGCTTTGTGCAGGTGCTAAGACACAAGTGCCATGCCAGAATCAACATGGAAAATGAGGTGGTAGCATCCTACGGATTCCAAGGTTGGAAATAATGCAGTGCTCACAAGATTAGCAGATTCCATGATTAAGTAATCTTGTTGAACTAAGAATAAATTTAAGTTCAATTTACATAGACTATTTTTTTTCAGGCAGCCGTTCAGTTGTGACACGAATTAAGGTTTTTAGGCCTAAAGTTTTAATAAATCGATCTGTTAAGTATTTCAGTTGGTCTGGGAGTGAATTTTTGGGACTCTCTGGTTGATTAACCAATGATATGACTGTCGTGCATGAAAAAGAAAACTTTCTGATGAAAACCTTTCATGTGGATTTCTACAAGCAACTCTGACTCATACCTAGATAAAAGGTCTATCATCACTTGCTCAGCAACAACCTGTTTCTTCTTCTCTGCAGCCACAATTTCCTGAGGCAAGGAAATTAAAAAAAGAAGACCTCATTTCTCTTAAAGTAGAACAAAACAATAGTTAATACAGGTGTGCTAAAACAACAGTTTCTAATATTCATCTTGAATATTTATTAACATTCCTTTATACTGCATATACTAGTGTATAAGCCGAGTTTTTTCAGCACATTTTAAATGCAGTTTTAGTGGTAATATTAGGTGCCTCAGCTGATATTCGGGTCGGCTTATACTCGAGTATATACGGTATATAAAACTAGACTCACTGTCGTCAAGTTGATTTCTACTCATAGTGACCCTCTACAGCAGTTTTCCCAAAGTGGGTGACACCGCCCCCTGGAGGGCATGGGACCAACAAACACCTTTTCATCTTAATAAATATTCATCTCTATTCAAATTCAAACTTGAAAATGTTTACTTAATTATAAGTGTGGAAAACTTGTGGAGGACAAATTACCTTATCAAATAATTAGCAGAAATATACTGATAACTTACTACATCAGATTTTCTTGCTCTTTGTACTGCATTATAAGGGGTGTCTGCATAATCTTGCTGTAAGAGAGCTTTTCTATCCAGAGTTGTAAGCTCTTCACTGGCTTCTTCATCTTGTATGCACTATATGTAAAAGAAATAAATGGACCAAAATATATATTTTAAATATTTGTTTTTAGTGAAAGAAGGCAATAACTAAACACCATGTACCACATATACTTATGTATAAGCCGAGTTTTTCAGCACATTTTAATGCAGTTTTTGTGGTAAAATTAGGTGCCTTGGCTGATATTCAGGTCGGCTTATACTCAAGTACATATGGTATGTCTTTCCACAATCATGTTCAGCATGTCTGTTAGAGTAGGGGTTATGAATACAGATTATAGGAGGTCAGATTAACTGTGTTTGAATTCAGTTCTACTACTATCTCGCTGGTTAACCTCTTTGTGTCTCATTTTACTCACATATAACATGGGAACTAATAATAACACCTACTTTACCAAAAATAATTGGATGAGATAGTACATGTTCAACACTTATAAGGACCTGACCGATAGCAATTATTCAATAAATACTATCACTATTAGAAGTACTATTGTTCATGTTGGGTCTTTGTAAAATTAATGAAGGTGGAGATGCCCAATCCTCTGTAAAATTAAATTTAGAAGTACATTTTTGAATAAGAGATTTTTATTCTTTGAATACAAGACATATTTATATACTCATAACCAAAAAAATGCCCCAATAGATTTCAAGGGGTTTTCTCCTAGGGCTTGTTCTCATTTTCATTGTTTCGTGAGCGGTCATACTGCATCTTGATATTCTGCCTGTCTTCATGACCTTTGATTATTACGCAAAATTTACATGGTTTATTTGTGATTCGTTGCCAGTCTTTCATCCTTGAATGTAACTTCCAGGAGGGCAGGAAATTTCCCTCACATTTTTATTGCTGTATTCCTGGTGCTGGGGTGGGGGGGGCCTACAACAGTGAGCACTCAATGTATTGTTATTCAATGGGTGGTTGTTGTTGTTGTTGTTATGTGCCACCGAGTCAGCTCCAACTCACAGGGGCCCTGTGTGCATCAGAAGGAAACACTGTGCATCAGAAGGCACCATCCTCACAATAGTTGCTGTGGTTGAGCATCCAAGGAGCATTCTGGTTGTCATTCTTCCAAGAGAGATTTACCTATTGGGGGAAGTATATTGTATATGGTACATTCTTAGCCAACCCCCTACTTTAAATGGATCAAGCTCTCATTGGACTTCCATATTCATTGTCGACCTTTCGCATACATGAGATCACTGAAAACTCCATGGTTTGAGGCAAGCACACCTCAGCTCCCAAAGTGATGTCTCTGTCCTTCAGCATTTTATAGAGTTCTTTTGCAGTACGCTTTTTTTTTTTTTTGCCCAATTATGCAATATGCCATTTCATTCTTCACTGCTACTTCCAGGGGTATTAATTGTGGATCGAAATAAAGTGAAATCCTTGACAACTTCAATGTTTTCTCTATTTATGTATTTCCTAATATATATGGTTTTCCTAAATAAAGATTTATTTAAACAGAGACAAAAAAAAGACGTTGAGTATTACAAGGGGCTTCAAAGAGTTTATAGAAAAGTAGAATTTTAAAAGACAATGAAAAAATTTCCACAAATTTTTCCCAGCCCCTCATATGTGTATCAGGATAAGTAGATATAGTTAACAGCTATGCTTAAACATAGGCAAAGCTCTACAGAATATTGACGTTCAAGGTTTTCAGAAGTATATTTTGTTTTGGGGTTTTTTTTTTGTATCTCAAATAAATTCTAGATAGTTCCTATATAGATTTTTTTAAATAATAGCTGTTATACTGCACCTAATTATGGATTAATCACTTTTTATTCCCTACAGGAAAATGCTCAGTAACTATAATCATCAAACTTCCTGAAAATGCATGTTATTGTGCAGAGTTAACTAAATTATGAACTGAATCCAAGTGCGCTTCTCTCTACAGCCAGTAGTATTATATACTATGTTTCCAATCCTTTCTTTCCAAAAATCAGGACAGATTTTCCTGCGTACTTTAAAATATTCACATAACTTTATAAGTTCACATGCTTCTTCCATTTACTATTGTATTTACCAGGAATATTACATATTAATCCCCAAATAGCACAAGTTTGGCTACTATCCAAAGGAATCCTTGGTGGGAAGGATTAGTGATCTACATTGAAAAGGTCACAGCCTATGAGCACAGTGCTACTCCAGCACCCATGCGGTTGCTATGAGTCAGGGGCAACTCAACTGTACTGTGAATATTAAATAAAAGTATAATGATTTAAGTCATTGTTGATGTTAAAAATACTTCCAAAATAAAACAGACACACCTAGTACAATAACATTCCAAAACTTACACAAATAGAGTGAAGATGGCTACATCAAAACCATAAGCAAATCTTTCAGTTACGTGTTCCCATGAACTTTTTGAAGCTCTGTGGTATACAGAGAGCAGTATATTAGGGTTTTTTTTCTAAATTCACGGGACACAGGGGCACAGTAAGTTAAGCACTGGACTGATAACCACAAGGTTGGCAGCTCAAAACCCCAGCTGCTCCACAGGAGAGACATAGGTTGCTTGCA